GCCCTGTAGCCATATAAAAGGATTGAAGTCTGGAAGAATTCATGAGGCCCAGTTCTCACAATCTGGTTCCCCATAGTTAGTATTTGGCAGGAGTGGGGAATAAAATTTCAAGTTAATAGCAACCTCAGGGTTTTACTTCTTATTGAACTCCCCTGGAAAGAACCAAAGATCCAGTAGAAAAGGGCTGACACTGTTTGAAGAGGGTCATTTGGTCCTAATGAAGAAGATAAACAAAGTGGGTAGTTGTTTCCTGCTTAGAGAAAGGTCACTGGGGTGACCTTGTGAACAGGTCTTGTGAACTGATATTTTTAAAACCTCCATCTTATCTTCCTTATCAATCACTTTTCACAATAAACAATACAATTTTATGTACCACATGTTATTTCCTCATTTCAAACGGCTCTCAGTAACCCTATTTGGATAAACAAATAAACAAAAAGTCTTTGGGATGGGAAGTTGATGTAAATTACCACCAACTAATGAGGCCAGCTGGGATCATTCTGACCAGGAATCTTTAGACCTTATACAGTGCATTTACTTTTCTTCAATCCTCCACCAAACACTGTGCCAACGGTCTTCAGGCTTTAGCTTATTGACTAAAGTTGTCATAAAGGTGCCAACTTGAGCCCTATCGTGGTTGTTATGTGGCTGTTGACAGTCACTGAATTAAAGACCCCTAAGACCTACTGCTCACCCAGCCAACACTAGATGTGTAACAGATGCCCAGCAGGCTTAGGAGCTACCTTGAATGGATTCATTTCTATCACCACATCCTCCATGTGACACTCTGACCTTGTTCAAGGAACACCTGTAGCTATTTCTCAAGGCATTCAGCAAGAACATGAAATGGTCTCAAGTTCAAAGGTATCCCATACTTTCTGTTCTTTTATTTAAAGCTTCTTGATGTCTTGGTCCTATTCACTGTGTGATTTTTTTATAATAATTACATACTAAGTCAATGGCCAAATATAAAACGCAGGAGAAAAATCATGTAGCTATATAAAGCCCGTGCATTAGTGGACTCATTTTGTATTATAGTAAAGATGTCAGAAACATGGGAAATGTTAAATAACTAATGGTGTTCTGGAATCTTCCACCCCAAAAAATTCTCCGGTGAATCATTTTCAAAGAGCTCTTGAAATAGTTTTAGAGACTTTCGCAGTCTAAAGAATTGGGTACACTGGATACAAATAAAGATTTTCGAGAAGGCTTTTGCCAAATACCCTGTTGTTATTCAGGAGGCATTTTGGCATTTAATTTACTAATTAATTATCCATTCAATTCCTTGAGAATGTCAGATTTCTGAGTGCCAGTGCAGGGACATCATCAGCACTCGGAGGGGGAGTGAGTGCTGGCCTAATGAGGTTTGGTGCTTTCCTCCCTTTTCCAGAATCCCCCACCCCAAGAACAAAGGCCTTCTTCTCCCCAGCCCAATATCTCAACAGAAACTTTGAGTTATGTGGGAGAAGGGAGAGAGACGATTAAAGGCCTGGAAAATGAGACCTATGAGAAATAGTGAAAGGAGTGGGGATTACTGAACCTGTGGAAGAGAAGCGGAGGAATGACTTAACAGTCTTTCCCTTCTCTTTGAAAAGCTCTCACGTCGAGGAACGCAGCCAGCTGTTCAGCATCTCCGCGAAGACCAACCGGGAGGAAGCCGGTTCAAGCTGCAGCATTAGGGATTTAGAACACAAGAAAGAATTTCCTGGCTTTGAGAAATGTTAAACATCAGGAAAAGTTACCCACGGGATTGAAGAATCTCCTTCTCTTGGGGTATTTAAAAATAGATGTTCTTAGCTGTCTCAAATGATTTAAAGATCTTACCTAACACTTGGGGGAGGGGGTGGAGGAGTTACAACCAGATAATCTCATTCTGAGTATCTTTTGGTTTTAAGAACTAAGAAGGTATTTTCAAAAAATATTTTAAGACACTTAAATTAAACTTACATTCTCCTTTGACTCTCCTTTATCAATTTAATATAACTGTATGAAGAAGCATTAAAAAAGGAAACACCAGGATTTAAGGCAAAACAAATCTCATTTATAGTTCCATCTTTTTAAGCTATTTGTTCTTGAGAAGATAAAGACCTCAACCTCAGTTTCCTCACCCATAAATTGGAGCCCAAACTATCTGTATTACTGACCTCAGTTACTACGAATATCAAAGAAAACATGAAAATGCTTTTAACAGTGCAAACAATTATATAAGTGCAAAACATCATTATGGGGAGGTATGTTTTACATAAACCCCTCAATATTTCTCTGTTTATTTCAATTCTGTAGGAGCTAAGAGTCAGGCCTGACAAAGTACAGTTACGCTCTCCATATCTCTAACACACTGTCAAGAAGGAAGTGGAGAGGATTTTACTTTGAAATCTGGCCTTGGAATATTTCCTGATCGTCTGACAAACCCAAGGACTTCAAACTAGAATTTCAAACTTGGGCACACATCAGAGCTCCCAGTCGAGCATTTGGCGCAGTGGGATCCAGGTGAACAAGCTATGATCCTGTTCCAACCCTTCTCAGATAATTTTCATAAGGAAAGGAGTTGGAGGGGATTCATATGGCTTAAAAAAGCAGTCAGGGAAAAGTTGCAAAGAGACCCCGACACAGGTTCTGAGGAATGGCACCTTACAACATGCCGTAGGAAACTCAGCCTCCTGCTCTCTCCTCTTGCAAGGTCTCTTTAATTTGGTGAGTGTCTGACTGTTTGGAAAAGTGTTGATTAAGAAACCACATCACTACTCTAGAGTCGGTTCCCAAGGGGCCTGGGTTTCACACGGAGGGGAAGCCATTGTCCTGCCACTGTGTGTGTTCCCGCCACCCTCCAAGTTTCCCTGTCATTTTCTTTTTTCAAAACTGCCTCCCACGGTGAGACAACTTCCTGGAGTCCTGGAGTTGGCCATTTCCAAGGTATTGGTGTTGTTTTACCAGAGAAACTGCATTGGGATTCTACTCCAGAAAAAATCCAGTTGTGGCTACAGTCAGGCTTTCCCTCTTGCTATTATTGTAAAAGTGGATTTATCCCAAAAATACTAGGCAAAGAAAAGACAGAGAAAAGACGGAAGGAGTGAGTGAATAGCTAGAGAACCAAGATGGGAATTACCATGAAAGCTTCAAGCTCAGGGAAAACCTGCTCCCGAAAAGGCAGAGGAAAGAATAACAGGGAGGCCTTTATTCTGCAGTGATCTGTACATAAACCCCTGGAGTTCAACACACCAGCAATCCTGGTGGAAAAAGCACTCCGAGAGAGGCAGAGGACCCCCAAATTCACCCAACTGCCTCACGGTTGGAACGTGCGTGTGCAGCAAACAACCAAATCTCAAAAGGGAATACCACTGAGCATTTTCATTTTTATTCTCAGAATAGTTCAACTTTTTCTAGGGCCTGACTCTTGAAGGCATATATATATATATATATATATTTTGTTTGTTTTCTCTTCCTACTGGTCCCCTGGAAATTTCTCAGGTAAGAGAAGGAAAACAAGAGTGATAACAAATGCTGCTTCGGGGGGAAAGTCACATTCCAGGTGAATTCCTGCTATTTAGTTCATTCCCATTTTGTCCTCTTTCCTAAGGGGAGAGGATGATTTTTATGGAATGTTTTTTAGCCCACTCTACATGCTATGGGGTATTTCTTGCCATAGCGAAGCTCACACCACATCAAATATGCAGGGGGCCACTGAACCGTGATTTCTTGAGTCATGCAGTTTTAGCCTTCAAACAAATACCTGTAGGGAAAAATGGGAGGGTCCCCCCAATATAGGTACCTACCATAGTGGGTTGTCGGAAGGAAGTTGCATTGATGAAACAATTAGACAGTGATTAATATACACCATAATTCATGGCGATATTCCTGTTTCAGCATTCGCTCCTTCACAGAATGATGTCCAATTACTCACTATTGATCAGCAATTGCATTGCACAGAATAGAATGGCAGCGTCAATCCATTTCGTCCTATTGAGTTTCAGCCAATAACAATTGATATTTGGCACATGTTTCCCAGAGACATTTGTCTGCCATCAGGGAGTTGATTAACAGGTTGGCAGTTTGTATGTTTGTGAAAAAGGGAGGAAAAGTGTAAATCCCGCTTATGAATTTGTTCTCATACCTGCTGTGGAGAATAAGGCAGTCGTTACAATCAGCTGTTTGCCCTGCCAACCTGTTCACATTCAACACTGTTCGGTCCTTATTTTTTATTGATAATCATGTGAATAATTAAAGTCCAACTACATGAAACCCACATAAATCATCTTCAGTAGGCACGTAATGGACCTGGGCTCAGCCATTGCTCACAGCATAAATTAAGGCCAAAACATTCACAATGTAAACTAGGCATGTCATTGCCTCCCGCAGAATTCACAGTAACCTGCTTGTCACTCAAAACCTGTCACCTTCAAGGGAGTCAGTATGCAAAGGACTCTTCTCTCTCTAACTATCACAGGGACCACTGGCTACCTTTTGCCTTTCATTTGCCTCAACCATCGATGTTACGTAAGCAGATGACATGCTATTTGTTTTGAAAATCCCACTTGCTTCATTTGGCCATTCCTGCTGCGACCCTCACATTTGTTCTGTGCTTACTTTCAAAACGTCCAAGCCACACCGTCCAGAGCTATTAACCTCTCTCAAGAATGTCATCAATCATGCCTGGCACATGGGCTTTGCTAGACAAATCTAACAACATCTGCCATGCATTCTGCAACTTCCTTTTGATGCCTCACACTTTATTTTCACTTTCATCTCTGTGTGCTGGTGAGATTTATGTCTGATCCCTTTCAGATGCCAAGGAGTTGGTAACATGCCATTCCTCCAAAGGGCAGTGTGCCGTGTGAGAAATTGGGGCGACCGCTAGTTCTGGGCTGGCAGGCATCCCGGTTGCCAACATCCAATGGCCACTGAAGCGTTTTGCCAGGAAACCTTGATTCAGTGGCCACCGCACCTGAGAAACCACTCATATGTGTACACGTGAATAGCTGGCACATTAAAGGCATGTCTGGAAAAAATAATTTTATTTAGAAAATAGGCTACACGTCTTCTGCCTAGACCTAGGAATCATCCAAGAGCACAATGTTAGCCCAAACCCTGCTCTTTGTTCATCTGAACCTCCCCTTTGCCTCTCCCAATGGGAAACCCCACTTTGTGTGTGTGTGTGTGTGTGTGTGTGTGTATGTGTTATCACAACACTTTCAAGACCAGCAGTTGCCTGGCATCACAGGATCACACCTGCTGCCTTGATGGTGGCTTTCAAACATCTCAGATGACACCAAGTCATTTACTCTGACTGACATGTTCAGGAGCTCAAAGATCAATAGCTGTGGCTCCTCCTGGGGTTGTTAACGATTCCCCATCTATTTTCTTTCAGGCAGACATTTCCTCTGGCCAGTGTTCTTAGGACTTTTGGATTGACGATCTTAAGAGAAAAATCTAAGGTCCTGGAATATTCATCAGGCCTATTATTCTATTAGTCACCTTGTGAAAACTTAAACTTGTCTGCAGCCTTTTGTGGCGGAAGGTAAAGAGTATGCAGGAGAGATAGATGGACTGTTAAATAAGAAATATCCGCTTTCATGAAAATGTCATTAGTAATGAAGAATGCATTTAGGGTTCTCTACAAGGCATCCAGGGCTATTTAAATGATCAAGGAAAAAGAGCACTCATACCTCAAAGGGTTTTTTTTTTTTTTTTTTTTTAAATATTCAGTAACTTCACTCTTGGCTTACCAAGCCTAGTATTTATCTTTTTCAATAAGCACTGTAAATTGTGAATCTTTATAAAAGAAAAAAATACATGTTTATATAGTTTACAAGCCTACACATCTTCACTGAATAAAATTGACTGTTTATGATAAGGCTGTAAAGTGAGGAATAATACTTTAAGGTCCTCCTCATCTTAAATAATTCTTGAATTGCCAATGTCTGGGTGAAGAGAAAAATGAGAGCGTTGATTCAGGCAACACTGATGCAAGTATATCCTAATTCTAAAGAACTCTCAAATATTTAATGATCAAAAAAAGTTCCATAATAGGTTTAAGTGAAGTAGGTAGTGAGACACGCATCATATGATGCCTATGATGAAGAGAACCGTAATTGAGGTGGTGAGAAAGAACAGCGCTGCCCTGAAATACATTGATATTACACTTTTTTCCACTTGGATGCCCTCCCCACGCACACTAATCCATGGATCTGAGGGGGAATAATCCGCTGACATCCAATTTTCTGGGAGAATTTTTTTTTCCCTTCCTGAATGAGGCAATTTGTTCGTGAAGTAGTGTAAGTATTAACTCTTTCTCAGCTAAATGATCCTCACAAAAGAAAGATTAATTCTGGCATTGGAGATTAAGGTCACTAATTCAAAAAACCTAGTCAGATGCCCTCAATTTCTAGCCACATCCCCTCTTGTCTAGAAAAATAACAAGAGAAGCTGTGATTTCCCAGTAAAGCAGAAATAACAAGAAAAGTTCAATACTGAACACACAGAACTCTTACAAATAAAATGGAGCAGCAATTCAAGCAGACTCTGGATCCAAATATTTTCTCACTCAAAGACATGCTTAGAAAATAGCTTTTAAAAAAATCTAGTTGGTAGTTCTGCAAACATTTATTGAGCACATACTGTGTGTCAGTTGTACTGGGTTTAGGAAAAATAAAATAGCACAAGTTGTTCAGAGTGTAGTGGAAGAGACATGTGTGTAAGCAAATTAAAGAAAGCCTGAAAAGTATTAAAAAGGCATATATAAAGGATGCTAAGGGAACACGGAGGAGGGTGTATAGAGCTCTGCCTAGCAGACATCAGAGGAGACTTTTTTCCTGGAAGAGTAGGGTTTTAGAAGGAGAACATGTCTGGGGACACAAGCCAGGAGAGAAACAGGCATGGTGTCACCAGCAGCCTAGCAGAGCAGAGTCACCAGGGCAGGGAGGTTAACCTGCCATTATGCATCATTTATGACAGTAACTTACTTTTTAAGATCTTTTTCTCATATTGCAGAAATGATGCAGAACCCAACGCAGAAGTGGAGCTCTCTGCAAATTCACGCCCCGCACCCCTCATCATCCAGTGTCTCTGAGTCTCCAGGAGGTGTCTCCTACATGCCCAGGTCCAGTGAGTAATCACATGTCTTCCACTGCTTCTCCCTCTTCTCCATTCCTGCTTTCCCTTTGCCAGGAGGCCGTGGGTCTGGCGGGCCCTGCGCCGGCTCCCCTGCCGGTGGTGAGTGCTGCTGCACCAGCCAGGCCCCACTTGTCAACTCAGCTTCCCAACTCCTGACAGACAGGGTCTCCCCACGAGATCCTGCCTCCACTGCTGGTATTTCGCCTTCATCCTTCACCTACTCTAGTGTTCTCAAACCTTGGAGATGTCAGGACTGGTCTCTATAACTGTGTTGTAGACTACAGAAAATACCCAAACATACTGTCAGCTCTTAGAAAAGTTGCAGTGAGGAATTCTTTCCATGTTCACACATGGTCCTCACTCTCTGAAGGCTCCAGCTCAGGGAACTAGGGGCAACCCAGTGCAATTCCCAGAATCACCCCACCCCCAACTAGGCCAAGCACGTAAACCTAGCTTCCTTCCCCGAGCGGCTGGGCTTCTCTTCCAGACACAACTCAGCCCCTGTGTGAACACACATATGGCAGGCCTACTATACCAGTTCACAAGGTGACTGGACATATCTCAGTCCCTGTGATGGATGTGGTTTATGTTCAAGCTGAGATACTTGCCCCATGCATGATAATTGGTGAAATTATATAGTGAATTCTTCAGAAGCCTCATTAAGTCACTATAGCTGAGAAGAAAAGTCTTATACAGATTAAGATATTTAGTTGCAAGAGGTGAGAAAACTGATCTCAAATAACAAGGAAAATTGGGTGGTTCGTAATTGAACAGTGGAAGATTCTACTTCAGACACAGCTTGATCCAGCATTCATACAAGGCATCCGGACCCAATTTCTCACCTCTCGTTTCTTGACTCCACTTTGTTGGCTCTGTTATTAGGCTGGTTGATTCCAGGGTATCTGCCAGCATATCCCACTACTGTATTCGAATCTGTTTATAACCAGTAGGAAAGAGAGAAGGTAAATCAACTTCCTTTTCTCAGAAGCCCTGGCAACATGTCTTCTTGTGTCTCCTTGGCTCTGACTGGTGAACTTCCTGAGCCATCATAATGGCTGGAGTAAGGCAATGTACTGAATGGATTAGGAAGGTGATCACTGCTCCACCCCTGTGTCCGGGGATGGAGAAACTCTACCTAGAAGCACATGACTGAGAGTGGATAAAGGAGCTATTTCCCAAAGGAAAATCAGAATACTGTTCTGTAAAAAGAGAGAAAGAATAGAAGCTAAAAGGCCAAAATTCAAAATATAAATATTACACTATAATTTATGTTTCTAAAATATTGCCATCATATTGGCCCAAAGGTGATTTAACAACCTTGAGTATAGTTATTTGCACTGTGTAGAGTTTGATGAATGTTGAGACTCAATGAAATGTGTGTGGGTATGGGTGAGAAGAGGGAGATGGCTTAGGAAGTCTCACCTGGGTCTCTGGATACCTGGAAGAACATCCAACAGTGACCTATCATGTAGTTAATATGGGAGGTCCAGCACTACTTGGATCAATGAGATCAGAGACCAGAAAAGAATCAACTGTAAACCACTAAAATTGTGTACCCAAATGAAAAAGTAAAACAAAAAATAATTCACAAAAATATAGAACTACAGATATAATCTATGAGTTAAGAAGAACTTCCTAACCAAGACTAGAAATTCAAAGGCTAGATAAAAAGGATAGATATTTTTGAATATATAAATATTAAGAGTATTCCTATGGCAAAAGATCCAATAAATAAATCACAGTCAAATATCAGAGCTAGAGAGAAAGGTTTATACCAGATTTAAAACAACTGGCACCTGTAACATACAAAAAAGCTCTTAAAATTGTCAAGAGTAAGTCAATCCAGTAGAAAAGCAGGTAAAAGATACAAATAGACAAATCACTGAGGAGCAAATCTAAACAGCCAAGCACATTCTTTTAAATGCTCAAATTCACTTGTAGTCAGGGAAATGCAAATTAAAGTAACAATGAGATGTCATTTTATAGCCATCAGATAGACAAATTAGTAAGAATTATCACACCCAGTGACGGTGAGCTGGTGGAGATATGATAGAAAGGGTACTCATACATCCAATGGCAGAAATATGGTGTCTTACAGCTGTTTAGAAAAGCAATTTAGCAATAATTATAAAAATTGAAACAATATTTACTATTCAATTCAGCAATTCCACTCTTGAAAATGTAGCTCATAGAAAGAACCAGCACATGAAGCTATTTAAGTGTGTGTGTGCGTGTGTGTGTGTGTGTGTGTGAGAGATCATTGTTCAATGAGGCAAAAAAAAAAACTGGAAACAAAATAAATGTTCATTAATAAGTGAACAACCAAAATATTATGGAATATTTACACCATGGAGATTTATGCAACCAATAAAAAGAATGAAGGGGAGTTCTGCCAGTTAACCTGCAGGGGTGGTCACAAGGATTTGCTAGTAAACAAGTCAGGTTGCGGAAAGTGTATGTAATCTCACTTAATGATGTAATGTAATATAATTGATTGCTTTTATAAAACAACACTGATCATTACAAATCTGTGTTATATTAATACAGAGAATGATATGGAAGGTCATACAGTAGATTTTTAAAAATTGATTACTTGAAAAAGAAACATAGAGGTATGGAGGGGTGGGTGACCAACCATCCTGGTTTGCCTGGAACTGAAAGGTTTTCTAGGATGTGGGGGTTTTATGGCTAAAATTCAGACAATCTCAAGTAAACAGTGATTGCTGGTCACCCTATTGGTGTGGGAATATAGGATGGAGAGAGAAGGGAAAGGCAAGCCAAAAAAAAGGGAAAAGATACGACTAAAAATCATGTAATCATATATGCATTCATGTAAAATTATTTATCTTGGTTGATGTTGGTAAAAATAAGTTTTAAACATGTTTATTTTCACAAATTTCTATAATAATTGAGGAAAGACTTAAATCTCACTCACAGACTTCTGTGATTTTGAAGAAGCTACTCTAGAAATACAAGGGCTAATGGCATTTTCGATGAGCAAAGAAATATCATTTATTTGTGTAGTCAAAAACATGTTCATTAAACATTTATTCCATGTATTAATTTACCGATTAGTAACACAACACATAGAAGGCAGTCAATAAATGTGTCGAATAAGTAAGCAAATGCATGACCATAATTATAATGCATATAATTAATGTAATAACCACAATATATTGTAACATATATACAGCATGAAACATATTACAATAACAATCCTTTAACAGAGGCAAAAACAGAAGCCCAAGAGAACACAGAAAAGGTGCACTGATTTTGCCTAGTGAAATCTTGGAAATGCAGCAGAAGAGAAATATGGAGAGTTTGAAAAAAGGAGAGTTTACAGCTAGGAAAAAGGAAAGAGGAAAATCCAGAAAGCAAGAACACCCCACACAAAGCCAAGAGTCACAGAAAAGCAAAGTGTATCTGGGAAAGAGTGTGACGTTCCCCAAGGCATGCATAGGGAAAAAGTGGAAGTTGGGAAAGGAGCGGTGAGAAGATGAGGCCGCACGGGAAGGAGAGGTGAGATGCCTTAGTTCCTAGGCACCTGCCAAGCAATTGGCATTCCTTTTGAAGGCACTAGGAAGACAGGAAGTCTCACATCAGAGAAGAGCCATAATTGGATTTCGTTTTTAGGAAGATAACACGAGCACCAAGATGGCAAATTGACTTTATGTCAAATGCCATTTCCAATTGATCAGTCATGAGAGCTGAAGGACAATGTTAAGAAAGACTGGGTGGTCACCCATGTCTGGGCTTAGCAGGTAAACTGCCGTGACCGATTAGCAATGTCTACTATGGATAAGGGAGAAGGGGAATGGTGACAAGGTTGCTATGTGTTTTCCAAGACCGCACCTACTACCAGCAGCATGGAGGAGGACCACATGGAAGAGATCATTGTCAGGGAGAGCGGGTGATCTACTAATCCATACAAGAGGTGATAGACATCTGGAGAGGTACAGTGGAGGAACCAGACTCGCAAGAGATTTCAGAGGCGCAATCGGGAGGATCTGCTGAATGAATTTAGTAGATGAGATTTAGTGGATGAGATCCAGGCACTAAGGGCATCTCTGGCAAGCAAGCAAATTTCAGATGAGGATTGCTTTACAGTATTGGAACCAAACCCACTTGGCCCCTTATACACCTCAGAGAGGATAAGATGACTCGGCAGTTCTGGGAACTGCCAGGGCACATTCAACAATTCCTGCCACCAAATCACTTTCTGATGTCTGTGGCCTGAGCTGCTTAGCCCAGCAGTTCTTGTGATTTATTCTCCAGAGCAGCTCCTGGAAGTTGAAAAGTCCTCCTAGAGCCAAAAACAGGAAGCATCCCCCACTCACCTGGCCCAGGGTCCAGGAAGGAATATGTGTGCTCTGACACACCCATGGTGTAAGTTCCCATTATGTCAGCAGTGTTTACCATCTCCAGGCACTTCCTATGACATAGGAGCACCGCTAAATCTCTTCACCAGCAGAGGAAATGACTAACTCCAGGAAGTCATCCCTTCTCTCTCTACCCCCCCAACCAAAAATGGAGACGCTGTTGGACTTTCACTAAAAATATCAACACCATCTAAAAATAAGGTTCATCAACTCTGCCCTTGCCCCAGAATTCCTGACCCGAGTTCCTCTGACATCACCACTGGCCCCTGTCAACGGAGCCTCTCAGAGGCACCTCCTAGCTGTCCTCTTAGCTTAAAGTTCATTTTGTAATCAATCCCCACCAGCTTTCCCACCAATGAAATAATGAATAATAGACGGCCATGATTGTATCAAACAAGTGTTTTCCCAGGAGATGAAAGGTCTTCCAAAACTCTTCCAAAAGCACACGCACCCAAGTGGGTTTATTTCCTGTCTGGTTGGCTTCCTCTGGGCTCATTACGGTTTCAGTGTCATTTTCCAGAACAGGAAAGAGAGTGTAGGAGTGTGGCCTTTAGCCGTCTCGGGTGGACATGCAGCGGCTGACCTGTAGGAGAGTCTAAATGAAGCCATTTGTTAGGAAGCCATTGACAGGCACTTGGGGTATTCAGTAGTGGCACTGTTAGTACTGCTGGTTCCTGGGGCACTCAGCCTGCTGCAGAGCTTTCTATTCTGTCTTGAGCTAACAGACCCCAGCTGAAAATTGGCATTTGCTTTGGCGGTGGTGGTCTAGAGGAGAGTTGGGAAGAAATACCGAATCTTTAGTCCAAAGGAGAAGGATGGGAGAAATAAGAAATAATTCTAGATTCAGTTTTTTGTTTTTGTTTTTTTGAGTCCCCAGGCTGGAGTGCAGTGGTGCGATCTCAGCTCACTGCAAGCTCTGCCTCCTGGGTTCACGCCATTCTCCTGCCTCAGCTTCCCAAGTAGCTGGGACTACAGGTACCCGCCACCACGCCTGACTAATTTTTTTTGTTTTTGTATTTTTTTGTAGAGACGGGGTTTCACTGTGTTAGCCAGGATGGTCTCGATCTCCTGACCTTGTGATCTGCCTGCCTCGGCCTCCCAAAGTGCTGGGATTATAGGCATGAGCCACCGTGCCCGGCTAGATTCAGCTCTTAACTCCTGTATTACTGGAGGTTTCTCTAATGACTAAACCAACTTATGAGTTTTGCTCCCCAAACAAGGAGGCAAGAAAGGCTCAAACCTTACTCCGAGAGGAAGTAGCACAGCATAGTAGATAAAGGCTTTGAAGTTAGAGTCTCTGGGGTTAAAGTCTGTTCTTGTTAGGCACAACTGTGTGACGTTGAACACGTTACTTAGGCTCTGTAAGACTCACGTTTGCTTCTCAGATGTAGACTGGGGTTTGTTATGAGGATCAATTATATAAGAAATGAACAGTTTATACAGTCGGTGCTCCATAGAGGTACCTACTTGTTTTCTTTATTGAGTGCCTTGCCATGTGCTCGGTGTTCTTCTATTGCTGGAGATTCTACAGAAAACAGGACAGACAAGGCCCAA